AACAGTACTCCAATATATAAATTTTGAGAGGAAGGCACCATCCAGTCTGTAATATTTGTTTTCTGACTTTCCAAAATTCATATCCTCCTTGCATGTAAAATTCATTCATTCTACTCCCAATGGCCCAGAAGATCTTAACTCATCCTAACATCAACTCTAAAGTATAAAGTCCAAGTATTCATATAGATATCCTCTAAGGTTGATATGAGCATTACTAGAGGTACAATTCATTCTGAAACAAAATTCTTCTCCAGCTGTGAAGCTATGCAACTAGATAAGTTATATGCTTTCAAAATACAATGGTGAGACATACATAGAATAGAAATAGGAAAATCTGGACAAAAGAAAAGGATGACAGATCTCAAGCAGTATAAAACCAAACAAGGCAAATCCATTAGATTTTAAGATTTGAGATTAATCCTCTTTGATGCAGTACTCCATTCTCCAGGTCCATGGGCATGATAGTCTTATCCACATGACTCTGTGGGGAGTCCTGTTCCCCCACCAACACCCCACACTGCCTCTGTGTGAAAGTGGCTCCAGGCCTAGGAGGAGGCATGCTTGCCTACTACAGTTGTATAGGAGACAAAGGAGAATTCAGTCCTCCCCTATGGCATTGTGGTGGAAGTGGGCAGCCCTATGATGGCAGTGATCTCTCAGTGAATTCTTAGTGATGTCTATAGCAAGCAAACTAGAAACTCAATAGTACAGACTGTGTAGTCTGAGTCTGAAACTTAAGAACTAGGAGAACTTGCAGTGAAATTTCCAGCCTAAAACCTAGCAGGTTTGAGACCCAAGAAGAACCAGTGTTTCCGTTCAAGTAAGACAACAGGACAAAATTGATGTTAGAGCTCGTGCAGTGAGGCAAGATTTCCCCCTTGTTTGTAGGCAGGCAGGCCCTGTATGGTACCATCCAGTCAAATGTGTTTTATCTGCAGACATTGCTGTAACAATATGTATTCTTCACTGTACAGTACAATGAATTTTTATGCCTTCAGACAGTTGGTGACAAAACCCTGAAGGTTTTGAGCACTTCCACTGAGGACCACTGAGTAGCAAATTAATTGCAAAGATGGGAGCGGAAGCAAACCCTGTGAAAAAATCAGACCTTATTTTCAAGCAGTTTCCAGCTCAAATGGGGAGAACAAAACATACATCCAGAAGCTATAAATTAAAGTGAAATGCCTCCAGATCCATAAGGGGAGGGCAAAAGTAATGGGATTTACACATGACTTCTGAGGAAGTGTTGCAGAGCTGAACCTTGGAGTATGGGTTGGGTCAGACAAGGAGAGGGAGGGACAGAAATGCCTCATAAATTCAGCAGTTTTCAACCCCGGGGTACTGCCCCCATAGAAGGAATTGAGAAATGGGGAGGGGTAGTAACTGTGGTGGTCACAATGACAAAGAGATGTTATTGCTTTTTAGTGCAGGAGTGAGTGGGGGCTGTTCAAAAGCTAAAAATCCTATAGTCCCTGCGATGTTCTTGGAAATTTTTTTTCTCATACAAAATACTAAAATTCAGTCTTATATCTGGTGGACTGAGCAACTTCGTTGAAGATAACAGTGTGCAATGTAACAGCCATTGTTAATTTCTATCATTTTGTTTTGAGGTCATGTATTATTTTTGTTGTTTTTATGTTGTTTTGATTTTGTCTTCATTACTGTTTTGTTAGTTTTTTAAATTTTTAAAATAAAATAAAGCAAAATACTAAAATTCTCTTCACAGAAAAATATAGTTCTTTGATATCTTTATTTGTAGAGTTAATAAACCGCCAAACACTTCAGCAAAATGTACCAAAATTATTGCTTCTCACAATGGAGTATACTTTTGTACATATTTTTTAAGCTAGGAATCAAGATGATTTGGTGATCCAATAACAGATTTAATCACATGGTCTAGTGTCTTTCTTTTCTGCCTTTACTATAAAACAGTTGTGTTTGGATAATTTGTGAAGAACACAGATTAACTTCTTTTTTTTTTATTTTAATTTTTTTTCTGGTACGGGGAATCAAACTCACAACCTTGCGCTTACCAGGCAGGTGCTGTACCGCTGAGCTAAATCCCCAGCCCTCAGATTAAATTCTTATAGCTCTGGAGTCCTGGAGGTCCAAGATCATGGCACCAGGACCTGGTGAAGCCCTTCTTGCTGAGTTATAAAATGGTGGAAGGCATCAGTGGCAAGATAGAGCAAGATAGATAGATGTCTTTTTCTTATAAAGCTATGAATGCCATCATGGGGGCCTCACCCTCATGATCTCATCTAATCTTAATTATCTCCCCAAGGCCCAACCTCCAAAGACCATGACTATATGAATTTGGGGTTCATGTTTCCAACACATGAAATTTGGAGGGACGTATTCAAACTACAGCATCAAAGAATGCAAAAATTCAGACCTAATTTCCCAGATCAATCCCTTGCCCACTCTGCATATTATTTATCTCACAAGGGCTTTACAATGTGTTGCAAATTGTCTTTCTCTTTCCTCTCTGGTTCCTCTTCCATAGGGTTGCAGAAAGAGATCTATACAGTAAAAGTTGTGCCAAAAGGAGAATAAAATATCACTTTATTAACAGCTGAACAAATACCTGAAACATCAAAGAGAGTCTTTTTAAGAAGTTTGGACTCCAGACTAAGGTTTATATTAGGTGGCTTTTTCTGAGCGTTCTGTGCTGACTCAGCCTACATGTTCACTTGCTGTTTATTTCCCAGATCCTCATAAGTACAGATACAGTTTCCAAAATAGCGAGAGTGTGGAACAAAGTTAAAGGGAGAAAAAAGTATGACTACGTAGCTAGAGAAAAGTTTAGTTCAATTTATCCAGTTGGTTTTAATATCAGCTGAAAGGTACAGAAGGAAAGAGAATGGAAAAGAGCAATCTGACTGTGCTCAATCAGTGATGCAGATCCTGTCCAGTTGAAATCCTAGAGGCAGCAGTGTTATAGTTTGGCTATAGTGTGAGGGTCTCCTAAATCTTCGTGTGCTGAAATTTGACTGCTATCGTGAGACATTAGAAGGGTGGAAACAATCTAAGAATAGGTGTAGGTGGGGCGGAGCAGTTTTGGGAAGCAATTAGGATGAGACAAGATTATTAGTGCAAAAACCCCATGTTTGAATTCTGGCGGTTTTATAAGAAGAGGGAGAGAGAGACCACGTGAACAATATGTCCACCCTCTATTTTTTGCCATGTGATGCCATGTGCCATATTTGGGCTCTGCTAGTAAGAAAACCATCTCCAAATGTAGCCTTTTGATCTTGTACCTTCAGAGCCATAAGGCAAAATAAGCCTCTTTTTTTTCTCATATAAAGTTAGCCTGCCTCGGGTATTTTATTATAATGATGGAAAACTAGTACAGCAAACTGGTCATAAAAGTGGGGTCATTACTATTACTATACCTAAAACATGGAAGCAGCTTTGGAATCAGGTAACTTGGCAGAGGTTGAAGAAGCAAGCTGGAAATAGCCTAGAATGCTGAAAGCAGAGCATTAGGGGTAATTCAGGCGAAAGCTCAGAAGATGAGGAAAGTATGAAAAAGCTGAAACACGCTCTTTCCATGAGTGTTCTGTGACCAGAATGCTGCTAGAAATGGGAACAGTAAAAGTCATGCTGACAATGTCTCATATGCAAACAAAGCACTATGAGAAATTGGAGTAAAGGCAACCCTCCAACTCTATTGTAAAACACTTGGCTGAACTGGATCCAGGGTGTAGAGCTTTACTGAAGCCTTAATTTTAAAATAATACACTGAGATAGCTGGTGAAGGAAATATCTAAACATAAAATATTCAAGCTGCTGCTTGGTTACTTGTACATGCATATAGTAGGATTCAGGAGCAATGGCATGACCTAAGAGCAGAATGTATGGGAAAAGGGAAGCAGAATGGAAAGATTTAGAAAGTTCACATCCTGGCTAGGGGAAAGAACAAAGGTACAGTAGAGAAGCTGTTTGCCAAACACATTAGTAAGCATAAAAGGGAGCCGGTTACTTTGCATCATAATTGAAAAAAGGCCCTAAGGGCATCTCAGAAGTCTTCAAGTGGCCCCTCCCTTCATAGATTCTGAGATCTCCGATGAAGAATATTTTTGTGGAAATCCAAGGCACTCAGAATAGGCTACCAGATGCTAGCACTGCCTCAGCCTTCTGGCTTTCTGGCAAAGTACTCACAGTCACTGCAGCCTTGCTTTCAGTGGGCCCAGATACAGCTCATGAATACAGCAGATTTTGAAGTCATCCACATGATGCTGGTTCTGCAGGGATACAGAATGAAAGGTATGGGGTCATGGTTCATTCTACTGAGATTTCAAAGGAAAGCCTGAAAGGCTAGACTGAAGTTTGCCATAGAGCTGGAGCCCATGAAGCTAGAACTTTATGGAGTGGTGCCTGGAGGAACTGTGGGAGTGGGGATTCTGAGGGTAGCCGTAACAACAGAGTGAAATGCCTGCCCTAGAAAACTACTACTAGGTCAATGTGCAACTCAGCACAGTAGCCACATGGGTTACAACCAGCAATGTCATAGAAGAAGAGGTCCCGTGTACACAAGACGCTTTAGGATTTATTGTCTCTTCCGCTGGGTTTTAGTCTCACTTTAAGCCAATTATTCCTTTCTAATTGCCTATTTCCTGCTTTTAGAATAGAATAATGTTTATCATATGCTTGTTTCACCATTTTATCTTATAAGTATGTACTATTTTTTTTTTCCTAGGGGCTCACAGATGAAAGTTTGTCTTAAGTTTCAGAGTACAACTTGGACTTGAACTTTTGAGTATATTGAAACAGTGAAGATTCTGGCATTCCTGGGAATGGAATGAAAGCATTTTGCATTGTGAGAATACTGTAGGGCCAGGGTCTCTGGATGTTGCTTTTTCCTCCACATGTTCATATGCTGGAAGCTTGGTACTCAGGGAGTGGTGCCAGGAGGTAACAGAACCTTTCAGAGGTTGGGCCTATTGGAAGTTTTAGGTCGCATGTGGGCATTCCCTTGAAAGGAATTAAGATACTTCTGGAGATGGGGTGGGAAGGTTCTGGTTAGTTTTCACAAGAGGACTGTTGGAAAAGCTTGAGCCTGGTCCCACCCAGACTCTCTCTAGCTACCTAGATGAAGATATGGTCCTTTCCCACAAACATGTTCCTGGACATCTGGCATAAAGTCCTTGCCGGAGGCTTTTCCATGCTGTTTGAAATTTCAGCTTCCAAAACTGTGAGCTATATAAACCTTTTTTCTACATTAGCCTGCCATAGTTATCTTATTAGAGTAATGAAAAATAGACTAATACAAGAAGGAAGATTTTTTCCCAATTCATGGGTTTTCCTTTTATTCTGTTGGTGATTTCTTTTGATGTGCAAAAACTTTTCA